AGGCGTGTGCACAAGGAAAGAGCCAGAACCCCAGCACATCTGGCCCTGGAGGCCCACTATCCTCCCTGAGACTCTGCTGCCAAACAGCCCCCCTTCCCTTTCTGGCCCACACTCTGGACCTCAAAGCATCCTCCCATTTGGATCCAGAGTCACATGGGCAGGTGTTACAGATGAATGGGCCGGCGCTCAGAGAGGGTAAGTGACCTGCCCAAGGTCACAGAGCCTGACTGAGGACCCAGCCCCCTTCTCCAGGATACTGAGTTCTTTCCTAACAGCAAATGTGGATGTTTCTTGCCCAGAGCCCACCCTAGTGTAACGCCCCCAACCTCAACTCCTCTTGCTCCTGTTCAGTCTCCCCTCCAGTGGAGAGAGGGAGCGGGCCTCCCTGGTCCCACCCTCTTGTGCCCAGGATACGTCGGATTACAGAAGCCGCCTTCCTCCCTCTGGGCCTTCCCTCTCCTGGGTGGCTTATTCCTTGCCTGGCTGTGGGGCCCTTCACAGCCCGACCCATTTGTCCCCAGATGGGTACCAGGTACTGCCTCCCCCCACGGCAACGTCTTGCCCCCCTCTGGCTGAGCAGCACTGGGTGGGGGGAGCGATCATCGGAGAATATTCCTTCTCTTACAGGAAGGGACCCTCGTGTGACCTTCCCAAAGCCAGGGAGTTACAAGAGCCCAACTGGTGACACCCGGTATCTCTTCACCCCAGACGCCTGACTGTGAACGAGGGTCCCCTTCTCGGCTCTGGGTGGCAGAGGGGTTAGCTGCTGGCTACCCAGACCTCCCCCCGCCCACGGTTGTTCCTCCCTTCCACAAGGTGCCACGTGCCGGGCACCATTCTGGGCATCAGGAAAAAGGCTGCAGAGACTCAAGGTTGGCAAGCAAGGTCAAGGCAGAGCCTGGGCTGACCAAGAGCGACAAGGAGCAGGCGACCTCCTCCAGGTCCTGGACAGAGGGTCCCTGGGGAGTGCCGGGAGCACCACAGGGAGAGGCTAAGGAAGGGAGGCGGGCACGATCCTGGAGTCCCAGGATCGAGTCCCGCATCGGGCTCCCTGCTCAGCAGGGAGTCTGCTTCTCCCTCTGACCCTCCCCCCTCTCATGCTCTCTCTATCTCATTCTCTCTCTCAAATAAATAAATAAAATCTTAAAAAAAAAAAAAAAGGGCGCCTGGGTGGCTCAGTTGGTTAAGGAAGGGAGGCGGGGTGGTGTGTGTCTGTTGGGGCCGCCTGGCTGGAGCCCAGAAACCTTTAAACCAATGCAGCTCAGACCGCAACAAATGGCTCGAGCCCCATAAGCTTGGTTTTTTGGACCATCTGGCTGGTTTCCATCTGAAGGCAAGAGTTACATCCTTCTCCTTCCCGTTTCCATGTCTGCGCCCAACCCCGAGTGAGCACTCGATGAATGGCAGGTGAGGGCAGAGCAGAAATTACCCAGTGGGGGTGTGGGGAGACCACTGCAGGTAAAACAAGAAGGTGCTAGGATTCGGGCTCACCGAGGATCCCACCTTTCTCTGCGTCCTATGGGCCAGGCACAAAGTCCAGGGCCGTGGAAAGATGCCCCGTGTGGAGAGATGAACTTTGCCCACAAAATGTATTTACGATCAACTCAAGATGAAGCTGAATCGTGTAGTCAAAGCGACATTTGGAACGACTGCTCCCATGCATCCTTACATCCTTGACAAGTGTTTGTCGCGCCTTAAAGAGGACCCTTTACAAAAGGCCACGTATTAGGCTATAAGGGAATTACCCTGTTGGTGCCTTACATCCCCTGGGAGCCAAGTACCATGAGCATACCCACTTTGCTGATGAGGAAACTGAGGGTCACTTAGGGGAGGGGCTGGCCTGTCCCACAGCCTGGGCACGCAGGGTTGACAACAGCCTCACCAACAAGCTGGAAGACAGTGGGCCAGGCCTCCAAGAAACCGGGCTGCTGGCCACACTGACTCCTGCTCTCCCAGTCCCGGCTGGGCAGGGGCCCCCATCAGGCTTGAACCTCCTGCTGCTCCTGGATATGAGCTGTGCCAGGAAGGGGGAGGATTGCACGACGGGGCATGATGATTTACAAAATCTCATCTGCAGAGGAGGAAAAAATCTCCTCTGCAGTGTTCAGCCTGAAAGCCGGAAGGTTTTAGTTAGGCTGCATCCAGATGTGTCTTAGACCTCCTCCTGCCCAAACACCCCCGCCACACACACACCAGGACAGTCTCTCCCACGGAGGAGGAGAGTCACCACCAAGGGTGGCAGCCAGTGATGACTCAGGTGTGAACATCTGGGCTCCCCTCTGGGCACCGCAGCCAGCTGTGCTCTCCCGAGGTGGCCTCGGACCCCCCAGCACCAGTGTGGGTCTTCAGACGGGGCTCTTGGGAACCAAGATCTGCGTGACAAACACCTGTCAAGGACGCAAGGCCCTGGACCCAGCCCAGACCTCAGGACTGAGAAATCGGAGCGCAAAGCAAGCGGTGCACTTGGAATTTAACAAGCTCTTCCACAGACTCTGACGGCCCTTGCTCAGTGCTCCTCTCTTGACCCCACACACAGAGCCCCTGGAGCACAGAGCAGATGGCCCCAGCGTCCATCAGAAGGAAGCCCATCTGGGGGCCTTAGGACAAGCTGGAGGCTTTCTCTGCTTTTCCCGCCGGGAGACTTTTCATCAACAAATACCTGTGGACCTACTAAGTGCCAAGCAGCAGCAAGGGAGACAGATGGGAAGCCAGTGACCCCCCGCCCCCTCCCCCAGCCCACACCTAATATAGGCTCTACAGAGGAAGGTACTCGGCTAACGCTCTCTGATCAAAACTGTTCCATGTCTCCAAAGGCCTTTAAAAATAGCCCAGGCCGGCTCAGCACCACCAGACCCGTTCCTAACAAAGCCCTGTTGACTCAACTTCTCCTAAAGTTGACAGATGTGCCCAGGGGTGGGACGGGGGGGGGGGGGGGCAGCAAAATGACCTTCCCCCCCACCCCCTTCCCTTTTAGAATCCACCATTAACGGGCTGATAGCAGCAAACAGACAGGGACCCCCAGAAGAAAAGCCCCTCCTGACTTCTCGGCCTGAGTTCTGAGGTCTTTCAAGGGGCATAACTTTGGAGACAGACGGAGTTTGAGCCCTGACACCATGTGGTGACTGGCCGTGGATCTTGGGCACAGGACTTCACCTTTCTGAGTCTTCGTTTCCTTGTCTGTCGATGAGGTTGGGAACAGTGCCCACAGCGTGGAAGATGATTCTATGAACTCATGGTGCCAAGAGCTCGGCATGTGACATGCTCAGGAAGCAGGCAACCTGGCTTCATTCAGCTCACGGCGGGCCCCCCTGCTCCACCAGCCTGGGGACGCCCTGGTTCAACCCAAGCCCACCACTCCTGTCAAAGCCCGTGGTGCCCTCTGCCTCCCTGGGCCCAGGAACCTGGGAAGTCCCACCTGCAGCCAGCCTGAGGCCCCCTATGGCCCACATCTGGACAGAGCCTGAGGAAAGGCCCAGCAAGTCTCACCGAAGAGCAGCCAAACTGGGCCACATCCCCGCTCCCCCCATCCCCCCAGGAGGGTAAGAGCAGTAAGGACCGAGTCCCGGTCCTTGGAGGCCTCCATGCTTCAAGGAGCAGCTCCTGGGATGTGAGTTCCTTGCTGGAGAATTCCGCTGGAGAAGGACCAGTACCTCCCAGCAGACTAGCGCCCACTCAGGAAAGCCCCCTTTGTTCTAAGCATGCGGGGGCGAGGGGCAGGTTGCTGAAGCGTGGGCTGGGCCAGACCTGCAAACGTGCCCAGAAGACCGATGGAGGGGGGGAGGGGGGCAGAAGTTGTGCAATGCACCACCAGAAGCTGCCTCCCAGGCCTCCATCAACGCAGGAGGCTGGCAGTCAATCTCCTGCCCCTGGGAAGAGGGCAGAGGGGCCGGCCCCCCACAGCTGCCCAGGTGTGGGGTCTGAACTCCAACCCACACCCAAGGCCAGTGCCCCCTTCCAAGTCACACACCCAGGCAGGAGCCCTTCCAGGTCATGCAGCCGTCCTTCTCCCGGTGCCCCCCCCCAAAAAAGAGCATGTGGTCATGACCCGGTGCCATGAACCCCTGACAAGTTGGGGTGTCCCCCCAAGAGGCTGCAGGGAGGGGAGAAGTCCGTGATGGAGAAACCGAAGATGCGAAGGTACAGGACAGTTGTGAAGTTGAGCCAAGTGGAGAGACACACTGGACCAGCTCTGGAGAAGTCCGAAATGGGCAGACCCTCCTCTTAGGGGGGCCCCGGACGGTGACCTGTTGAGATGGCCCAGGCCACCCCCCGCCCCCAACCCCCCCCCCTCGCTGTATCAACCCATTTCCCAATGTGGTAGATAGAGATAGAAAAGGGGAGGTGAGATCGGGGCCAGGGGAGAATTCACCCTGTAAATCCTGCAGCCCACAGGGCGCCCAGGACCCCGCGCCGCCGCCGCCTCGAGCTCTCTGGCAAGTCTCGCCCTCCCCACCCCCCCCAACGCACACGATCCGGGCCAGGGAGGGGGCGAGAGGCCCACCTCGAAGCAGCCGCAGCAACAGCAGCGGCATCGTGATGCATGAATCACCCACCCCGCTGTGCTCGTGCCAGTCGGCTCCGCACAGCCCCAGCCACCGCGCCCCCGGGAGCCCCCTCCCCGACCACCGCCCCTCGCCCTGGCACAGCCCGGCTCTTTCGGACGGCTCTGCAGAGAGGGGGCTGCGGGCGGAGGGGGCGGGGGAGGGCTGGAGCCGGCCCTCCCGGCCCGGGGGTGCCCCGCGCGCGCCGACAGGCGGCCCCCGTCCCGGGCGTGGGGGGGAGGGGTGCCCTAGAACAATAGGGCCAGGTGTGGGGCCGGGGGCGCGGCCGGGGGCTGCGCAGGGGTCCGCGCGGAGGCAGGGCGGGGAACGGCCGAGGGAGGGGTGCGGCGGGCGCGCCCGGAGGAGGGCCGCGGGGTCCGGGGGTGGGGGGGGAGGGGCGCGAGGGGGCGGAGGCAGCGCCGCGGAGCGCGGGGCGGGGGTCCCGGCGCGCGCACTCACAGTAGGTCTTCCTGGTCAGCTCCTCCACAACTTCGGGCTTCAACTTGCTGTTGGATTTCCCCATCCTCGGCGGCCGCGGCCCCCGCCCCCGGCCGGACCCCGTCGGGGCGCCCAGCGGGAGCGGCTCGGCCGGCGCGGGCCGCGGCGGGCGGCGGGCGGCGGGCGGGGCGCGCGGAGGGCCGGGCCGGGCCGGGGCCGCGCCTTTGTCTGCGCCGGGCCCGCGCGGCCCGGGCGCGGGGCTCCGGCGCGCGGCGCTGCGCGGCTGGCGGCGCCTCGGCCCCCTGGGCGCGGCGCGGGGCCGGGGCGGGGGGCGCGCGGGGCGGCCGGCTCGCAGGCCCGGGGCCGTCCGGCCGCCGCCCTCTCCCGGGCGCCGCGGCGCGGAGCTGCGCTGGGCTGGGCGCCGACGCGGCGGCGGGGTGGCCGCGGTCGTCCCTGGTTACTGGGCTCCGCGGCACATGCTCGCTGCTGCGCTCCCTCTCGCCGCCGCCCCTGCGCTCCCCGCCTCCCGCCTCCCGCTCGCACCGGCGCGCCAGGGGTGGACCCGGAGCCGCCACTCAGCGCCCGGCGCCACCTCCCGCCCCGCACCCGCCCGGCTCGGGCCTGCGCCCGCCGCACGTCGGCCCCGCGGGGCACCGAGCCGGCCGGCGGAGGGGCGGCCCCGGCCTCGCCCGGGCCCGCGGCGGGAGGGGGCGGTCACCCCCGGGCCGCCGCGCCCCGCGCTCCGAGCCCCCGCGGCGCCGCCGGGCGGGGGGGGGTGGGGGGGCGGGGGGGGCCCGGAAGATCTGACGTGAATGAGGCCAAGCCTCTGCGCCGCGAAACTCATTCATTCGACGCGGATTTGTTGGGCGCTGGGGACCCGCGGGTGAATGGGACGGGCGCGGTCCCAGCCCTCACGGGGCCGGGGTCGGGGCGGGGGTGGGGGTTGGGCACTGCGCAGCGGGATATCACATGTCTGCTGGGGGATACCTTCCGCGGCCTGGGGGGGGAAGGTGACCTCCAAGCCCAGGCGAGGGTGGGGGGTGGTTGGGACCGTGTTCCAGGCGGTGAAAACCTGGAGGAGGGGAGGCCCGAACCCGAGGGAGAACTCAGAGTACAGGGCGGCCGCAGGCGGGGTAAGATCTGAAACCCGAGAGAAGGGCCAGGGCCAGTGGGGACCGGCCTGCCCCTCTCCCCAAGGGGCTGGGCCTCTGGGCTTTAAGCAGAGGGGTGACAGGGGCAGATCTGCTTTCTCTGTTTCTCTGGCCTCCGCGCGGGGGGTGGCTTTCCTGTGGAGGGGTCCTCCTGGGGGGAGTCGAGGCTGAGGCCAGTGGCGAGGGCTCCACCTGGATGGAGAGCAGCAAGAGGGAGAGTCCACATGGCCTTCCCAGGCCGTGCCCATCTGCAATGTCAGTATGTTGGGACCCCCTGTCTCCTAAGCAGCTGTATCCTTTTCTCCTTTGCAATCACCACAGACTAACCGTCTGCTTTATTGGTTGTGTTTATTTCCTGTGTGTCCCCTCCCCTGTAGTGTGAGCTCCCTGAGGGCGGGGTTCTTGTCTTACGTGTAGTTGTATCTCCAACACCTAGAAGGCACCTGACTTGCAGTGGCCACTCCAGCCAACCTCCCTGGTGAGAAAGAAGGGGCTGGGGGCCTGGGGGTGGACAGAGCATGGGAGGAAGAGGCAAGGATGAGGTGGGGGGGCAGGGTTTCTTTTTCTCACCACTTTGGCAGAGCATGCAGACCTCAAGGGGCCTGGGGTACACAGAGGAACTGAGGAGTGCCTCTCAGCCCCCAGATGCCCCCTCCTGCCTCCAAACATGGCCCATTCCCGACTCCCCTCCCTACACTGCCTTGCCCCAGGAAGCCTTCAGATGGGCATATACCTGCCAGCCAGGTTCGTCAAGGAATGTGGTGGGGACAGACCTGGAGAAGGGGGAGCAGTGCCCATGCCCTGCCCTGGAGCCCAGTGGCCCGTGTGTGGCCTTGCAGGGGCGCAGCAAGGTGGGGCTTAGAGAATGAGGGAGAGGTGGGGGTGAGTCAGACTCAGCATCCGTTGGTATTTAACTGGATCACTTGGCTGGAGTTCCCAGCCCTGATTCGCAGCAGGCATGGGCAGAATCAGGCCCCACGGGAGGGCGCTGCATGGTCAGCCAGGGTGGTGGTGGCCGGGTCCAGCGAGGCAGGCGAGGACATGGAGAGAACTGCTTAGACTCAGGTTATAGTTTGAAAGTAGAGACCGCGGGATAGCCTAATGGACTGCATGGGGGTGTGGGACAAAGAAGGGAGTCAAGGTCAATGCCAAGGATTTTGACCCGAGCCACTGTTAGAATGGCATGTCCATCATGTGCCCAGGAAGCAGGTGATGCCGGCGCCTGGAGTTCAGGGACACGGAGGCTGCGGGGATCAGCTGGGGAGTCATCCTGATAGAGATGGAATGTAAAGCCATATGGCAGGATAAGGTCACTAAGGAGGGAGGGTAGACAAGGAGAGCATGGAGGACTGAGCCCTCAGAGACAGGGATGGGTCAAGAGCGGCTCCCTGAAGGTTATAAACCAGCGTGTATAAAGTAATCGAATTAACTGCATACACCTGTGAAAAGCAGCCTGAAGCCTCCACCTCCAGGGTGTTCCATCATTTGTTACCAGTGTCGGTGGGATTGCAAGTCATTTTATTTTCTGCCCTCATCTGTATTTTTCCTTGCATTAAAAAAAAGTGGGATGTAATTCACATAACATGAAATCCACCGTCTAAAGCGTGCAGTTCAGTGGTTTCAGGATATTCGCTGGGTTTGTGCACCCGTCACTACTACTAACTCCAGAAATTCATCTGTATTTTGTACAGACTGTTTTCTACAACTAAGCACATTGCTTTTGAATAAAACAAACATTTGATCAAGTCATTTCGCTCATCTGCGGGTAGCCCAGGAAAGGTGCCTTCCTGAATCACTTGCCAGAACGTCCTGATAACCCAGATACCCGGGCCCCATCCAGAAGGGGTGGATCTGAACGAGGTGGGGGCGTGGCCTGGGAATCGGCCTCTTAACCCAGCCTCTGGTCAGCGGAGAGTCCCTTGTCTTGTTTTATAAGCTCGCCTGGGAGAGTGACCCCAGAAGCTTGCTCAGAAGCTTTCTTCCAGAAAGCCCTTGGGGAACAAAAATGACATACATGTGGTTAGGCAGAGTCTGGATTAAATATTCCCTACGCCACTGCGTCCTGGGCATCAGTACCTTCCCCGTCCGATCAACAGCTCCAGCCCGGTCTCTTCCAAGTCTTCACCTGTGTGCGTATCCAGTACGCTGCGGGGTGTGTCCATTTGGGTGTCCCTCAAATTCATCAGGCCAGAAACATAACTTATCATGCCCCATCCCCCCAAAAAGAATCTTCTCTCCTTGGACAAATGGCTTCTCCTATACTCTGGCTCTAGCCAGAAATCTGAAACATCTTAGCCGCCCCTCCTCTCCCCAGGGACCCTGCTCTCTAGATCCATCCTCTGCACCTAGTCCATTGGATTTTGCTCCCTGAATAGACCTCAAGGCTGAACACTTTCCTCTGTCCCCCCACTCCCAGCCAGGTGAATCCAGCTATGGCCCTCTCTCAAAGCCATTTTCTCTCCTGACTCACCTCTTGCTCCCTCTCATGGGGCTTGCTCCTCCAGAGCTGGTCTCCCTTCCCCTCCCACGATAGTGACCTCCTACACCTGCAGCGTCCAGCACAAGGACCCCTCCCACACAAAGGCCACTGAGCACATGAAATGTGGCCAGGCCAAAGGAGATTCTGAAGGTTTGCACAAAATAAAAAGAATGAAAAATACCTCATTAATATTTTTTAAAATGTAATGACCTATTGAACTGGTAATGTTTTGGATAGAAAGTTTCAATATCTTAACTTTTAAGTGTCTACTAGAAACTTTAAATTGCGCATGTGGCTCACATGATATTTCTGTTGGGCAGCACTGTTGGATGTCCCTTCAAGTCTCCACATAAACATCAGATCCTCCACGGAGCCTTCTTGGCTCCTCCAGGTGAGCTCAGATCCCCCTGGGGTGCAGTTACCCACAGGCACCTGGTCCTTGGGTTTGCGGCACTTTATATGATAAGGAGGTGTGTCCGGGGAAGTCCTTTCCTTTCCATAGGCCTGGGGGGAATCAGGGGTATAAACGGAGGATGCCCAGGGCAGAGTCAGCTGCTGGGGGTGGGGGTGTTGAAATCTGGCCCAGTGGAGGGGGGCGGGGGAAGAGGAAGGGTCCCACTGAGCCCCCAGCATGGAGTGTGACACCCCCCAGTCCTGGTCGGTCCTGCCCCTCATGCACTGGGTGGCTTTTGGCAGATCACTTCCCATCTCATAAGCTAATCTGATCGTCTCATGTGGGGGGGGCGGGCAGGGTTATAAGGATCAAAAATGCTTTGCACAAGCACAGGACAAAGAGTTAATATCTTTAACCTATTAAGAACTTTCTAAGCCAATCTTTTTTTTAAAAGATTTTATTTGTTTCTTTGAGAGAAAGAGTGAGCGAGCATGAGTGGGGAAGGAGGAGAGGGAGAAGCAGACTCCCCGCTGAGCAGGGAGCCCAATGCATGACCTGAGCCGAAGGCAGATGCTTCACCAACTGAGCCACCCAGGTGCCCCAAAGATGAGCTCTCACTACAAAGTTGGGGAAAGAACCCGATCAGGCAACACAAGAGTAAATGCAAGTGGCCAGTCCACAGGAAAGCTGTCCGTTATAAGCCATCAAAGAAGACTAACTGGAAAAAGAAAAAAAGTTAATAATCATACCCAGTGTTGGCAAAGGAGCAAGAAAACCGGCATCCAGACATTGCCAAGCAGGGTGCAAGTTGGTACATCCTTTCTAAAGAACAGTTTGGCAGTAAATATCTGTATTCTCTGACTCAGCACTTCCACTTCTAGGAAATTATCCTAAGCCAACAATTAGAGATCTATACAAATGTTAAGCCTCAAAGATGTTACTGCAGCAACATTTATAAGAATGACAATAAAAAATGGAAGTAGTCTATATATCCCAAATGAGGGATTCGCCTGTTGTACCAGGGAATCCTGTACAATATTAAATTATAGCTCAGCTGGAAACCTATTCACATGATATAGATCTGTTTACAGCACAAAAAACACAGAGAAGTTTCAAAAACCTATAAGATGATCCCAACTGTAGGGGAAAAGA